TAAAAATTTCAAAATAACATTTATATTTATTTATAATACTATTAAAAAATAAAATAAAATAAAAAAAAATGAATTTTTGTAATTAGATGATGAATTAAAGTAAATAAATAATGATAAGATTAAAGTAAGTAAAAAATATTTATTTATCTTCAAAAATAAAAAAACAATTATAATTTTAAATAAATTTAAAATAAAAAACAATAATTATTTTGGGAGAATAAGAGTAATGCATTTCTTTCTTTCTTTATTTTAAAGTCCCTCAAGCGATTATATATGTGTATATGTGTATCTTTTTCTTTTGTTTAATATATCCGTAAGTTGTACAACAAAAAGGCCCGCATACCATTCTATGTACCTTCTATTGATATACATATGTAATTTGTTTATAAGGGTTAAAAAAAAAAAAAATTTTTTTGACTCAGCTGGCAAGCTCTGAATCTATCCTTAAATTCAAATCTTGTTGTCAGTTTGTTTTTCGTAGATAAGTGATCAATAAATATTGAGGAGTGGTATAGGGAATATCTCTCTAGCACTCTCTTTTAAATATTCTTCATGTAATGAGATTATGTAGAAGATAAATTTAATATGATTTGTAATTAATAATTAATATTAGATTTGAACGGCATGCTTTGATTCAGTGTTATTGAACCTTGGGTTAAAACTGTTCACATCCAGTGGATTGCACATTTGACCTCCACGGAATCGCTTTTCCTCTTTTTTCAATTAACCTTGTAAATAATTACAAATTGTTCAAAAAAAAATTAATATTAGATTTAATGTTTTTAAATTTTAAATTTATAATTAATCACATTAAATTTATATTACATATGTTTTAATCACATGAAAAATGTTTAAAAGGGAGTATTAGAGAAAACATTCTTAGCTTTTTTTCATCAATAGTGTACTTTTTGTCTTGTTGGATATAAATTTCAGATAAAACTTTAATAATTCATATAAATAATAATTGAAAATTTTTTTCTTATATGTAGTTTTGATTGAGTATTTTTATTTGAGAAAAAAATTTCAATTACTCTCTCTAATTGGATTTACTTGTCTCACTTTATCTATTTATAATTACTAACGAATTCATTTATTACAATAGTTAAGATTTATTTTTTTGTTTTCATCCTTATTTATAGTTAAATGAAAAAAATCCTAATGTGTTTTTATCTCTTTAAAGATAGAAGTAAAATTGAAATATCAGCATTTAATATTTTATTAAAATAAAAAATAAGATAATTAAATCATATCATTTTTATTTAAAAAATGAGACAATTTGATCTGAATAAAAGGTTTATCATTTATATAATATACTAAACTCTCATTTAAAATTTATGTTTGAAAAGTAAAAAATCAAATCAAATCTATTACATTTGAATGACATGAGTACCATACATCTCCAATAGGATACGCAGTATGTCCCAATTTTAGACCAGTGAATAATCTCTCCCGTCAAAACCTCTTTTTTTTTTTTAAATTTTAAAAAAATTCTAACTCAAACTTAAAACTCTAATCAACAAGAAGAAAATTAGGAATAAATATTTTTCATCAAAAATATTTTGTATTATATAATTCATGTTATATTAAATAGCACAAAATTAACTATTAAATAAGAATGAGCCTCTCCTCGTCTGATTTTGATCTTACACTCCAACACAGACTGTAAAAAGCACAAACTCATTTTGCATTGAGAGTAAAGAGAGGTTTAAAAAAAAAAGAAAATTTTTTGAAAGACAAAAAATTATAGTGTAATTTAGATTATTTCATACCGCATTGACTAATTACCATTGGATGAAAAATGTGTTTTTCGATATTAGAGGTCTTTCCTCCTCCCAATAGTCTCTATTGTGCAATCTGGATAATAAAATAAAATTTAAAATATATATATATTATATATATATATATAACTAACCATAGTTCTCTTTTTTTGGTGAACAAATACAACCATAATACCCTGTCGGTGGAGAATGACATCTAATGGGGTCCCTCCACGGCTTCTTGTGCATATACTTCCGAATTTCAATTGGCTGCAGAGTCCGCAAAGTCAAAACAAATTGAGAAATGTAAAAATTCCAAACACAAAACCAGAAAATCTAAACAAAAAAAAGTTGAAAGAAATTGTCTAATAGCGAATTAGCAATGGCTGCAATACGGGAAAAGACAGAAATAAATAAATATACGATTAATCAGATAACCTTTTTTTTCTTCTTCTTCTTTTCGGTGTACATCTCTCCTGTGCATAATTTGAGACAGTAGGGACCCAGAAAGATGGCGTATAGAGATATGTTCTCTCTACAGGGATGCACATGCAAATAGTGTAGTAATCTGGACCTCCGTCGGCATCTCTAACGAACCCAAAAATCCCCCAGCTTGTGTCTAAGATTGTCGTCAGGATGAGAATTCGAACATGAAACTTTTCAAGATTTCAACAAATACGAACTCTAGTAAAAATGACATTTTTAGGGGTAGGGTTTTTGCTTATATTTTGTCAACACGATTGTATAACTTGTAATTATGAAATTGATGTTGAAGTCTATAATGCCGCCTGTGGCCTGAGAAAACTTTCTAATCTTTTATGCAAGATTCCTCTCTAAAGGCTTCACATTTCAATGCGGGCCATGGCTAGGACAGCTAATGATTTGGAATAATTTGATGAATTAATTTAAAATCTTATTTATGTTTGGAATTGTTATATTTTTACGTTATAGTATTGTAATAAATTAACTATTTAAAGTTAGTTGCGAGTTGCGACTTTAAAAAGAGGGTTAGAAAAAAGGTGGGTCATTGTTATTATGGCTACACAAAGAAGCTTTTAAGGCCATACAAAAATAATAGAAGAATATTTAATTTGATTGTTTAAAATAATTAATAATTGTAAATATTAATTGATAGTAAATAAAATAATTAATATTTATTTTCTTAAAAAAATAACTAATATTTATTACTTACTAATTTAAAATTAATTTACAAACTGATGTTTTTAAATATCTTAATAGGTATAAACTAATAAAATTAAACAAACTAAACAAATTTACAATATTTTGTGTGGCCATAACTTAGCCCATCAAGGTGGAATTCAAACATCGAGGATTAGAGGGTTTAAACCCCACAAGAATTTGGCTTTGGGCTGCTATAAGCCTATAATATAGTAATATATACCATGTGTTCTTAGTTTAATCTTTATATTAAGAGTTAAATATTTTTGGCCACCAAAAAAAAAAAAAAAAGAGTTAAATATTCAGTTTAAGAGAATTATTTGGACAATCATGCTGCTGTACGCCTCTAATCATGAACATAAAATATATTTAACTAGTGCTTAAATAGAATCTCATGTGTTTTATTTAATTGAGCCTTTGTCACGTTGACCTTAAATAAGTTATTATCTTGCAGGGTATCAAAAAAAAAAAAAAAAAATTGTTACCATGATCTTGCAGAAAATGAATTCTTGCTAATACAAGGAAGTATTGGGGGAATAGTTATGGGCGCCAACAAAGAATGTTAAGGTAACCAAATTTATAATATATTGTTTTTAAAAATATTAATTATGTTTAATTTGATTGATAAAAATAATTAATTATTGTAATTAATAATTAATAATTAATAATTAATAAAATAATTAATATCTATTAATTAATAAATTAAAATCAGTTAATAAATTAATATTTTTAAATATCATTTAAAAAAAACCTAAAATATTAATGACAGTAACATATTTGATGGTAACAGTAACCACCCTGAGCATTGACACTGGAACTAAAACCTAAGAACAGGCAGTTGAAGAGTTCCAATCTTGTGTGTAAATTAAAGAGACCCTGTTGCTTGATTTCTCAGTAAAAATAACAGAACATAAGCTACTAATTTTTAATGTAGTAGCCTATTTCAGACAGGTTTTTAAGACAACAGCTCTAATTTATACTGTATCATTTTTGAATTGTGTTTGAAATTCTTACACAAGCTAAATGTTGCTTCAAGAATTTAGATACTACATATAGCAATCTGATGCTGATATTCTCTCAAACAAACCAAAGTCTATCCAATTGCCTTCGAGTTCAAAGAACTCACCGTACCTCTGCTTCTGTCCATTAATATGAACTATGCAGTGACGATATTTTCCTCATCATCTTTC